GTTAAATGGGGATATCCGAGACATGTGTATGATTCATCTCAAAATATCAGCATCCAACAGTTTCTCACATATTCTGTTACTTTTAATCTAGTATCCATCTATGTTTGATTATTAGAACAAAGTAGATATCCAACCTTACTAAATGAGTAAGCTTAATTTTGCACCTTACAGTAAGCATGCCTTTGGCCTGAAAGTGACCCACTTCTCTTTGATGTGATAAAATGCCTTGACTTTTTGAAGACTACTTTCCTCAAAGAACTTTTTACTTCTGTTTTAGTAAGAGGTTTTATTCTGGTGCCTAAGGAATTATTATAATTATTTAAGTGGGGTATCATTATAATGTTAGTTTTACTTATGAGAAAGGTGAGGGACATCATCATTAGGTGAATTAACAAAGCTTAGATGAGTATCACAGGTTCTGATTTTAGGTGTCTTTGTCTGGTCAGATTCCATGAATCATGTAGGGTTTAGTGGTTTCAATAACAGTTCTCATCAAAGGATATTTGAAAAAAAGCAAGCTAGTGTGGTGGTTGATAAATGGCAAAGCAGTCATATGTAAATAGTTTCCGAGGTTTTTACATAAGAAGTTTACTTCCTTATTGAAAACTAATGGATACAATGGGACACTAATTAGGGTTCCCTAAGAGTTCTCCAAGAGGAGTTGCATTGGAGTTGATGCGAATTGGCAGAAAGCAGCACGAATTGATTTGATCACTAAAAGGCCTTGCATTTGGGGATTTTTTTTAAAATGGAAAATGGTTCCCCAAAGAAAACATATATCATAGGAGAATGAGAGGAAGAGAAGATAAAGAAAATTGAATGTTCATTGCTGATCAATTATTCAGAATCAATTATGGTTTGCTAGGGAAAGCATACTGTGCCAAAGCCAAACCAAACTCCAGTAAGCATTAGGATTAATTACTCTCATGCCTGTATAAGCTAGAGAAGGGAGGGGCTGGCATCTACTGGCAGAACTTGACTGTTCTCTAGGAGCAGAAAATCATTGTGACACAAAGAGAGAGAACATCCTGTTTCAGAATATCAGGCTTTTAAAAAAAAAAAATTAAAAGAGAGAGTCTGTGTTCAATTTATGGGAGAGGTATGTAAATATATATAATTTCTTCTAACAAACACTGTATTAGTGTTCTCCAGAGAAGCAGAACCAATAGAATATGTGTGTATCTATGTATGTATATACATATACAGATAGATGGGGTTGAGAAAGATACATAGAGAGGGAAAGAAAGCAAGATTTATTTTAAGGAATTGGATCATGATATTGTGAAGCTGAAATGTCCGAAAACTGCAGGGCAAGACAGCTGGCTAGAAATTCCTCCAAGAATTGATGTTGCAGTGCATAGTCTAAAAGGTTAGAAACTCAGACAGAATTTTCAGGTTGCAATCTGGATCCTTTGATCTCTTTTCTTAAGGCTTTCAACTGATTAGATGAAGGCCCACCTACATTAGGAAGGATTATCTGCTTTATTCAAATCTAATGATTTACATGTTAATCATATCTATACAATGTCTTCACAGCAACATCTAGACTGGTGTGTGGCCAAACTGGGTATCATACCCTAAGCAAACTGACACATAAAATTAACCATCACTCTTACACTACCTACTTATGGTTTAGGTCAGTGCTATAGATAATAACTTTTCACATTTTGATAGCTATTTTTACATACTGTCATAGTCATAAATTTCATATTCTCATAACAGTAGTGCAGGTTAAACAGAGTAGCAAATTTTACTGTAATGACATAAATGAAGAGACTGAGTCATTTAAAATATACAATTCCTAAATTGTAGACTAGAGCCCACACCCGGTGTCATAAAGAATTTTATTAGCAGTCAATAAGGAAAAAAAAAAAAAAGCAAAAGCAATGTTAGTAAGAAACTATGTTCCTGGAATTAAAATTAGGCATTGATATGGAGTATCATCTTTATCATTAAATTAGAATTATTCTGTGAATTTGAAATTGCAAGCAACTTTCATTTAGCTTGAAATATTTTCACTTACAGAAATAGCTAAGCTGTGATAAGACAATTTAATGGTAAGAATGACGCAATCTTCCTAATTTCTTTTTAAAAAAATAAGGATTGAGTGTCATATATGAAATGAAATAGATCTATCTCAGATAATCTATGTCTATATATAGAAATAAATAATTAAAAATAGAATAATAATTATTAGTCCCTGCCCAAGAATCTGTAGTACCCCACAGCCCACTCACTAAGAAGGATTTAAAAAGAAAAGGGCAATGATTCATCATAACTGAATAGGGTGTGTGTGTGTGTACAAATTACTGTGTTTTGTTTTGCTGACATATATTTCCTCCTCTGTGGAGGCTCTCTTTATTCACAGGTATCAGACATAAAGGAATAAAAATCCTATCAGTATTAAAAAGTCTTCCCCAGTGAGACAGTATTTTCCTTTCATATTTGACTGCCGTTGAATGGTCTTTTGAGTTTTAAAGGGTGAATTAGTTAACTATAATGCTAGAAAGGGACTATTATAGCAATTATTTGAAACATTTAAAAACTGGGCCTATTGCAAGCGATTATGTTTGGAGTTAATGAAGCGCTGATACCCCAACATAGTAAAGGGAAGAAAGATCTTTTGCCAATAAAATCTCATCAGGTGATGGCCTTGACGGAACATCCCACTATTCCTGTCAGCCAGAACTGTCATAAACAAAACATTGATGAGACAATGACAATAATTAACACAGTGTTAATGGGATATGGAGCCTCACAGTTATTTTTTCAGCTACAATGAACTTAATGCATGCCAAGCAGTGCACTGGTTTAACATCATAACATGTTTCTCTTGTATTTACTGTGGTTATGTTGGCTCTCTTGTGTTACAAAGCACAGATATGCTTTCTCAGGCTTATGAGAAGGTAGATAAGGGAACAAGATGCTAGAAATCCAACAGCTATTTTCACATTACTATTAAAGGTTGAGAGTTAAGAAATTGGCTTGATCTGAACTGTTTAGATAAGACTATGGCAATTTGGCCATGCACAATGGAAGACACTTTGGATTATGATTGTAAATCTAGTAGATAATATTCTTTTAAAAGTAGAAACCTTAAGCCAAAAGTAAAAATAATCAGAGACATTGGATTTTATTAGAGATGTTGTCACTGGCAGAATTAGGTTAATAAGGTCATGCAAGGTGTTGGCTGCTGCTGCTATAAGCAGACATATTTGGTGGTGATTATGTAGGCAACAAGACAGCATATCTGGTACAGGATAACAAATTGAGTGGGGAAGCAGTCAAGGATAGCTCGGTAGGTTCCCTGAATATAAATCTCTGGAACCCCCACTGAGTCTGACCTGCTTAAACTTGACTACTTTTTCAAGGGTATATCTAAGAGGCCTCTCCCTCTTGGCATTTCTGTTTTTCAATAAGATACTTATAAAACATATAAATATGTCCTTAAGTCACATTTCAGGATTAATAAATTTCATCTCACACAAGGAATATACATGGTACGTCTAGACAGATTTTTTTTTTTTTCATTTTAGCCTTTCTGCTTGAACTCGAATCAAAGGAAATAACTGCATTACATAAAACACATTCACTTGTGGAAATGGTAATGTTTTGATCTCCATTAAATACTGGAAATAAAAAAAAAGTTTGAATGTACGCTGAAAAGCAGGATTATTTTTACCATCCTGAATGACAAATCTTTCTGAACAGGCTTTCCAGCAATTAGTCTTGCTCTAATGCTATTTCTACACTGGCAAGATGAAGTCTGTTACTTGCCAGATCTCTGGAGAATATGGTGCTTTCTGTAGAGGCACAAGTATATGTCCAAATGCCAGAGTATATACTTGTACTTGGCTAGTGTAGAAACAGCAGAAGAGACCTGAAATACTCAAATTTTTATTGGATTAGCTCAGTGATTTCTCTGAGGAATCATGCTTAACTTCTCTAGGAGTCACAAATTATTAAACATAATGTAAGGAAGTCTGTGGGTTATTCTGACTATTTGCTGAACATGCATTATGTTTGGCATGACTGAGAGTCACAAGGAAATGAAATCATGGTCCTTACTCTAAAGGAGACCATAAAGGGTGTTTTCCTCTTTGATTTGCAATTTAATTGAAGAGATTTATATGATGCTTCAAAATGGATTTTCAGAAACTATTTTTACATGCACTTCAGCATACAAATGCTTTTCTATGGAGAGTCTGTTAAATACTTTAGAACTTCTTTTAAAATAATATGAAAATATTATCATTCTAGTCAAAATTTATGGTGTTTTTTGTAATATTCTAAATTTCTTGTTAATATTGTCCTTCGTGTATCTCTTCTATCAAAAGAGAAAAATCTGGCAGTCTATGAAGATTGTTTAAAAAAAAACTTTCATTTTGTCATTTTGTTAGATTCAAAGGCTTCAGAATAGTCTGTTCCCTATTCTGTCTCTTTTGAGAACTTCAAGAGGAATGACTTTTTCAAAGAACACCCTGTTGAAGTAGATTTTCATTGCCACTCTAGAAACACATAATTTGGATGTCATCCCATAGTCTGTCTCAATTAAAGTACTATCAACTCTAAGTTTTCTTTTATCTCAGGCTAAAATCAAAGCTTGCTTTTTTATACAAGTAAATATATAGGACAGTCACTATACATGGTAATCAATTCACTTTTTTTCCCTTAAATCTTACACTTACTTATAAAATTAATTAAAGGTTGTTTGTCTTATAGGTACTACTGTTTCACGATGACAGGTACTATGAATATTATTATTAATAAAATATATTTTTTTCTAAATTTAACTAATATCAAACAAGTTACATACTTCTCTCTAATATTTAGGTTTTAGGGCATTAAATGGAGTTATTGATTATAAAATAACTGAAAACTCAAATATGGTAAGTTATTTTTTTCTCACATAAATAGCTCCATATACAAAAAAACTGTGGATATTTAACCATTATTATATATTTATAATAATGAATACTAACATATCGTTTTCTGTACCAAATGCTTTCAAATATGTTTTTGATATATCTCAATAGCTTTAGATCACTTTTATTCTAGGAGTAGTAATGGTGGTGGTAATAGTGGTATAGTGGTATTGCCATTTTGCCAATCAGAAAATGAGCCTTAGAGAAGTTTAAAAATCAACTCGGATACATATGTTTTATAAGTTGCCGAGGAAACCCTTGAGTCCAAATCTCTTACTAATTTCGCGATACTTTCTCTTCATGTCTATGGGTTGTAAATGTGAGATATTCAGATCTGCAAGTTTTACAGGCATATAACTTGTTGGGGTTGCATTCAAGCAGCCCCTAGATCTTTTCCTAAGCATTAGTCTGGGCCCACAACCAACCTGAAAACCTTAATGAATTTCAAAATCATAACCTTCTGCAAGTCAATGTCTTGCCTCACTCTTGTTTCTGCAACTATTTTTTTAGTCATAGACCATGTGTTAGCATCCTGAGCTCACATTACTTCATAGATGACTCCAGATAACAAATGCCAACAACTGTTCACTCTGATTCCATCCCCTTGATGAGTTTCTAATCTCTATTCTGGCTCTACTCTCATTCTAGCTCATCAGAATAAAGTTACTACTAAATCTTTTACTTCTGTAGATGATTTGCTCATTTTGGAAGAGCAAAATGGTAATAAAAGCAGAGTCCAAGATTTTGCCTTCACACATCCCAGTAAGTTTTCTTTTTTATAAAAGAATTTTATAGCTTTGCCTCACTATTTCTTTTGAAAATGATAGTGTGAATTTGTCAAAATCATAATGTGAATTTGTGCTCAAAGCATTGATTGTCAGTTGCTCAGCCTTTTGAATGAATTATGCCTTTAGTACCATATACAGATCCTACTGATGTTCATTATGAAGTGTCTGTTTTTCTAATTTTCATTTTGTATTCACAAGGACAGTCTCAAGGCCTCAGCTCAAGGAAACATAGAAGACCATTTATTTATTGATAAATGTGGTTTAATGTAATGTTTCACAATGGGATACTGTAAAACTTGGCATTTCTTCATTTTTCCTATCTTTAATCTCTTCTCCCAGTCATTATCATTGATCAAAATCATTCAAGAGGATGAGATCAAAGTAGATATTTAGATAGTTGCAGTAGGTGAGCATTTATGGTGTCTATCTTGCATTTGTCCAATGCGTAAAACATTCTTTGAAGTGATTCCAATGTTTATATTGATGCTGAGTGTTCAGATATTTCAGCAAAATTGTGGCCATCTGAAATCAGATTTTTTTGCACCATTATTTTTTGCAGCACTATTTTGTACCACTATTCATTTTGAAATAACAAACAAAAAAGGCGGCTCCCAGTTCCTTGAAAATAACGCCGAATTGTTGAGCACCCAAGAACAATTAATTTATCTAAAATGAGAAAACCCAAATATTACACTTGATAAAAGAAAGCATTCATATGAGAAATCTTCAAATTACCTAACAATCACAATCCGCTTTTTTTCACATGAAAGCTAAGAAGTACAAGAGAAGCAATACGAAACAAAACATACCCAAACAAAAGTGAAAAATATATAATCAAAAGGAGCAATATATGGCAAAGAAGGGTCCATTGGACCCTGGTGGTGAACATGCAGGTCACACGTAGTGACAGAAGTGGTAAAGAGATTGTAAGGGTAAAGAAAATGATCAATGAAGAAACACAATGACAAAAGCAACTTTTTGACTAGAAGGACACAGCAGTTCTAGACTCTCAGAGAGGTGATCTTTACTATCTTAAAAGGAGTAAAGAAGAAAAGGACTAACTTTCCAGAGTAGAACCCGAGAATATACACTCACAGAATATTTCTAACAACTGGACTATGGAAAGAGGGAAAGGTGCAAATATGCACTAATACTTCTATTCTCCTAAGATAGTTCACATGTTAAAAGTAGGCCAAACACTATGCTTAAACCTTCAGAGAACAGCAAACTCCCATAGGTCAGTGCACTCACAAGCCTTATTCCCTGCCCAGTCTTGTACTAATGAAACTGATATTTGTAACTTTACCTCTTCATATAGTACACTACAATTATTCATATTCATAGTCTAATTTTCTATCATCAAGAGCATTTAAATCATGTCCTGTTTACCTATGTAAAACTGCAAGAAAATATGTAATCCTTAATAGAGACTTCCATGCCCCCCAATTTCTTCTGTAAGTAAACTTCTCTCTCCCTCTCTCTCAGAAAACTTGAAAAGCTTATTGACTGGAATAATTTAATCTGTTCAATATTTCCATATAAAATAATTTTTGTAAAAAAAATCATGGAAATGAAGTCATAGCAATCTTCTCAACCTTGTTCAAAGTCAGGAATTCTTTTTCCTCTGAATTAGTAAGATACAGAGACTAGGGCAACTATTCTGCCTGTTTTATTCAGAGAAAAACATGTACATGTTCATTCTGGCTTCATTCTTCAGAGTTTTATTACTCTATAAACTCAGTAGATAGTCACATAGCATGGCAACTTTAGCTGAAAGAGAGCTTGGTGTGGATTGAAGCATATTGTCACCCTGGTGCGAAATGTGGCCAGAGCACTTTAAAACATACTGCTTATAGCAATTTTAAAAATAAATACTGGTTCTGTTTAAATATGCCATCTGCTTTAACCTACATATCATTAAGGTTGTTGAATATCATGTTTTTTGAAGAAGCTCGTCAACAAATTCAAGTTCAAAACAGCCTTTTGTTCCATGGCCACACAGATGTGGGGCTTTCAACCTTGAGGTGAACTCGAATATCATCTTTGCATTAAATCTCAGTATGTAAGGTCTAACAAAGAGTGCTGTGAATCTAAAATTAATGGAGTCCCTGATGGTAAGGCAGCATAGCTTTCTTTTTCTAGAAAATATAATCTGTTAGTAATTAAGTGAATGGCCCAAATTATTTGTTCCATGTAGGTTTTGATAATTTAGTCACCATGAAAGGCTAGGCTACTGTGCCTCTTGTTTCTTACAAGATATGCTACTTTATTTCACCTTAAAATTGTTTTATCAAATAAACAAATCTTCAGTAAAATTTAGAAAAAAATTTGAATCAGGTAACACACTTTGCATCTATTCACAATTAATATATTTAAAATATATTAATTCCTAACCAGTAAATATACTTTCATAACAGAAGAAAATCTCATCCTAACCAACATGTGAGGTTAACCTGCTCTGCTGTTCTCCAGTGACAGTCATGTAATTACAGCCTAGGAAACTAAACAATTCACACATTGATGACTCATAATGAGAAAAGTTATATTGAAAGCAATCCTTCAAATGTATATTTTAAAACCAAGAAATTTTACCTTATTGAAGTGAGATACAAAATAACTCACAATGCAGATAGTTAGATCATTTTAAGGAAATGAAGCATTAACCCTTTTTCTTGGAGAAACTAGTAATCCAGTAGGTTATATATATAGATGTTCAAGAATTTTTTCTTAAAAAATTTCTTGTTTATTATCAAGAATTTCTGTTTATTATCAGTGAAACAATTTATATCTTAATTTCTTTCAGAAAAAAATGTGAATAATGAATGAATGGAACCTAAAAATGACTTTAACAGACTTAATATGTCAGAATACAGAATATTACATGTTTGGTATTTGCACATATTTTTACTTATAGTAAAATATCATTTAAACATGGTAGTTCTCTGACATTTTTTACTTCTCTGGATTTTAGAAGGCTAAAATTCTTGTTTAAATCTCATCACTATGTGGTGTCTGAACATCAACTTATAATAAGCAACTTAAAAATGTTTACCCATATCTTTAAAACTTTAATAGGGATGTCCAAGTGTTATCAAAGATGAAAAATCAACTCAATTTTGCAAACAAATTCCATAATACATTTTTCCTTTTTGTTACATTTATTCTAGAAATAATGTCAAAATATTGTGTAACAGGTTTATCTATTTAAAAAATATATTTACTAAATTATAAAAATTATTTTGTTCCAAAAATAGCTTTGAAGAGATTATTTTAAGTGTTTCTAATGTGTGAACAAGAAAAACAGCAAAAGGTAGGGTTGGAGTAAGAGATACTAGTCAAAATATTTCATCATTGTATTCATTACCATAAATCAAAGGCACTGTAAGATTTGCCTTTATGTTTGGAAGAACAAGCTTTTTATTGACTGTCTTTCATAATTAATAGCATTTACTCTTTAAATCAAATTAGTCTACTTTCCTATTAAAACCTTACTGTAGGATCATTTTTTAAAGTACAAAATGACCTTGACAAAAATGAAGGATCGATAATATGTTGATTAGGAGTCTGTTTGCTCTAATAGCAAATGTTTCCTTGCTGTTAGTTCCTGTTGCAACACTCTCAGAGGTCATAGTTCATTACTATCTCCTGGCAGTGGTATTTTCTACATACAGAAAAGTTGAACCTACTGAGCAAAACACTGATGGATTGACTTAGTCATATATATGGATTTCCTTAATACTTCTTTAATCAGCTCATTTTTTGATTCAAGATTGTGTTACAGGATATCCATCAATTGGGCAGGAAGAAGAGAACAGTATGCTGTTGAATCTAGCATCCTTAGACTATCTTGAGTTCGACTTAATCAATCAGGGGTATGGGAGCCATGTTTTATGGCAGAAAAAGAAAAGCTTAATGTGATTGAGGTTTCAGAAAATAAAAAGATGGTCATTGATGGGGAAATGAATAGCAGGAAGAAAGTTAAAGTTATAATAACTATATAGCATTCATGTTCGATGGGTTGAAGCTAGAAAAGGTGATACACAGCAACTGGAGCCCTTTCTGAATTTAAGAAAATTTCTTATGAAATATTGTTATTTTTAATACAAAGTGGCCTCCTTTCCACTGTGGTTTCTGAGCAAAAGAACAAAAATATTTAAGCAACAATTCATGTAATGAACAGAAACAATTAATGATATATTCTTTGTCAATAATATATGTGGATGAGCTGGTCTAAAATAAATCTATTCAAAGAAAAACAAAGTTTACTTTCAGTAGCCAAGAGGAATAAAGGAAAAATGAGACGCAATTAAGCAGAGAACAATTTAGTATAACTCTAATAGCAAAGTCTTTAATGATGCTTTGGTACAGATAAATTTGATTTAGAAATATCTCCCAAGTAAGTTGTGGAAACCCATCTCTTTAGTCACTTAAATTTGGACAGGCCAAAGTTAATATGCTGAAAAAGAAAATTGGAACCTTGGAAAAGAGCTAAATGACCTAATTGATCTTTTCCATCACTGATTTCTAGATACCACTATGAATTAAATGACAAAAAGATAATTTTGTGCTATTTAAGATAAAAAGAAATGAACTGAACTGAGTGTTGTTTGTTTTTTTTTCTTTTTAAAAATTCACCATACAGCCATGTCCAGCTAGCTCCCCTCAGATTTGGTCTGTGTCAGCAGACTCATGTTGTTCTTAATTGCATGGCTCTAAGGTGGTATACACAATCTTCATGTTATATGTAACATCAGTTCAGAGAGGTTGCTTATGGTTTTTCTAGACCAAACAGTAGACACAGAGTTTCTCGTTCAGATTTAGAGCAAAGAAATGTTAGACACTATAAAAACATTATCCTTAAGGGTTCCCTAAGCAAGGTGGATTAATAAGATAGTTAAATAGATGGTGAAGTGAAGGGAGAGAAGATAAAGGCCTAAAGATGTTGTATGAGCTAAATTAGCAATGTAAATATTTCATGATCCTTAGAGAGCAGTGTGATATACTGGCACTGGGATTGGCAAACTTTTTCTGTAAAGGCCAGATAATTAATTCTTAAACTTTGCAGACCAAGATGCAAAATTAAAGATATTTATGTAGATTATTACATAAAAAGAAAGATATAGTATGCATTAATAACATTAACATAGTATGCATTAATAACATTAAAAATATAATGTTAATTGAGTGATTTTTTTAATCATATGGTATACTAATGAGAAAGATGGTTATCTGTTTTGGGGAAATAACATTTTGCTTAATAGTGGTTCAAAATTTGTGTTCCTTGTCATGAAATCACTTACACATTCACAAGCTGTATCAAAACAGGTCTGTTTTGGCCCTCAGGTTATAATTGGCTGAGCCCTTCCCTAAAATGCTTTTGATGTAGCACAGAGCTATTTCTGTAGAAGTTTTATCTCCTATGTGAAAGAATGTTAGAGAAATTCTTATTCCAAAGCTATCTTGGTGTATAGAATAAATGTCTTCTAGTCAGTTGAATGTGACTGATCAAATTCTTATTTTAT